TTGATCTTCATCAGTAAGTGCTTCAAGTCCTCTTCACTTTCAGCAAGCAAAGTTGTGTCATCTGCATATCGCAGGTTGTTAATGAGTCTTCCTCCAATCCTGACGCTGTGTTCTTCTTCATACGATCCAGTTCTCAGATTGTTTGCTCCGCATACAGACTGAATATGTATGGTGAAAGGATACAACCCTTACACATACCTTTCCTGATTTTAAAGCATGCAGTATTCTCTTGTTCTGTTCCAGTAACTGCCTCTTGATCTATGTACAGGTTCCTCACGAGCACAATTAAGTTTTCTGGAATTCCCATTTTTCACAATGTTATCTATAATTTGTTATGATCCACACAGTTGAATACCTTTGCACAGTCAATAAAACACAGGTAAACATCTTTCTGGTATTCTCTGCTTTCAGCCAAGATCCATCTGACATCAGTAATGATATCCCTCATTCCACATCCTCTTATGAATCCAGCTTGAATTTCCGGCAGTTCCCTCTTGATGTACTGCTGTCCATATGCCTACAAGGAAGACCAGTTAATATGACTATTATTCAAATTTATACACCAACCACTAATGCCAAAGATGAAGAAATGGAAGATTTTTACCAACTTCTGTAGTCTGAAATTGATCAAACATGCAATCAAGATGCATTAATAATTACTGGTGATTGGAATGTGAAAGTTGGAAACAAAGAAGGATTGGTAGTTGGAAAATATGGCCTTGGTGATAGAAACGATGCCAGAGATCACAAGATATAATTTTTCAAGACCAATGACTTATTCATTGCAAATATCTTTTTTCAACAACATAAACAGTGACTAGACCCATGGACCTTGCCGGATGGAATACACAGGAATCATATCGACTATATCTGTGCAAAGAAACAATAGAGAAGCTCAATATCATCAGTCAGAACAAGGCCAGTGGCCAACTGCAGAACAGACCATCAACTGCTCATATGCAATTTCAAGTTGAAGCTGAAGAAAATTAAAAACAAGTCCACAAAAGCCAAAATACAACCTTGAATATATCCCACCTGAATTTAGATACCATTTCAAGAATAGACTTGATGCATTGAACATTAATGGTTGAAGACCCGACGAGTTGTGGGATGACATCAAGGACACTGCACATGAAGGTCATTAAAAAGACAGGAAAGAAAGAAAAGACCAAAATGGGTGTCAGAAAAGACTCTAAAACTTGCTCTTGAAAGTAGAGCAGCTAAAGCTAACGGAAGAAATGATGAAATAAAAGAGCTGAAAAGAAGATTTCAAAGGGCAGCTTGAGAAGACAAAGCAACATAGTATAATGACATGTGCAAAGACCTAGAGTTAGAAAAGCAAAGGGGAAGAACACGTTTGGCATTTCTCAAGCTGAAAGAACGGAAGAAAAAATTCAAGCCTTGAGTTGCAATACTGAAGGATTGTATCGGGAAAATATTGGATGACACAGGAAGCATCAAAAGAAGGTGGAAGAAATACACAGAGTCACTGTATCAAAAAGAATTGATTGACGTTCAACCATTTCAGGAGGTAGCATATAATCAAGAACCGATGATACTGAAGGAAGAAGTCCAAGCTGCACTGAAGGCATTGGCGAAAAACAAGGCTCCAGGGATTGATGGAATACCAATTGAGATGTTTCAACAAACAGATGCAGTGCTGGAGGTGCTCACTCATCTATGTCAAGAAATTTGGAAGACAGCTACCTGGCCAACTGACTGGAAGAGATCCTATTTGTCCCCATTCAAAAGAAAGGTGATCCAACAGAATGCAGAAATTATTGAACAATATCATTAATATCACATAGTAAATATTAGGAAGGGCCAAAAGTCTAAGACTGGAAATAACATGCTTATCTATCCAGAAAATTCAAAGAATTCAACCAAAATATATTAGAATTTATGAGAATCAATAATGTGGCCTTTTACAAAAGCAATATACCCAAACCAATAACTTCTATATACACAGCAATAAACAATTTGAAAATGTAATGGAAAAATATCTCATTTATATTAGCGACAAAACCATAAAATACACAGGCGTAGAATAAACCTAACAATAAATGTATAACATCTGTATAAAAAACTATAAATCTTTACTAAAGGACATTAAAATAAACATTTAATTAAAACAGACATTTAAAGGGACATTAAAAAAGCCTTACCAGATTTCAAAATGGACTATAAAGCTATGATCATTAAAGCAGTATGGTATTGTTGTAGGAAGAGAGTCCAGAAACAAATCCATCTATGTATATAAGAATTTAGCATGTGAAAAAGGTAGAGTACAATAAAGATGGACTAGTTGATAAATGGTATTTAGACAATGGGCTATTTCATTTGGGAAAAAAAAATCACATTAGAGTCTTATGTCATACCATAAACAAAGTATATACTTTAGGTGTATTAAATATTTAAATGTTAACAAGAGAGTAATACTAGTAATGTAAACCAACATGAGGAAATATTTTTGTAACGTTAAATTAAGGAAGGCCTTGCTAAGTTTGACGTGAAACCAAGACATCATGTAAGAAAAAAGAGAAAGACTCAACTACAGAAATTTGCAACTTGTGTACACTGAAAGACACAATAAAGACAATGAAAGAAACAATAAGACTGGGGGAAAATATTAGCCACAAACATAACTGACAAAGAATTAACACTACTAATATACAAAGAGCTCCTATAAATCAATAAGAAAAAGACAACCTCATAGAAAAATGGGCAACAATCAAGCAATTAAAAGAATAAATAAAAAGGTCTAATTGAATTCTAAACATATGTGGCCAGTGAAATAAAAATTAAAATAGATTTGAATTTTTATTTATCAAATTGGCACAAATTAAAGATTTCTAACATCTAGGGTTATTGAGAATGTGGGAAAAGGGCATTCTTTCACACGGTTGGTGGGATTATAATTAGGTATAAACCTTTTGGAGGATAATTTGGCAGTACCTGCCAAAATTTTAAATGGGCATGTCCTTTGACCCAGCTTCAGCTTCCAGGAATCTATCTTACAGAAGTACTCCTACAAATGTGTAAGAATATACATACAAGGATGTTTCACTAAAGTATTATTTATAAGAGCAAAACAAAGTGCAGACATACTAAATGTACATCAACAAGGGAATAGTTAAATAAATTATAGCCCATCCATACTATGGTACACTAGTCAGCCATTAAGAAGAGTTGAGGTAGATCATATGTACTGATATACAATGACCATGATATATTTCTGAGTGAAAAAAGTAAGCTGCAGAACAATGTAGATGGTACAATCTCATTTTAAAAACTATATATACTTACCCCTCAGGCCTGCCCCCAACATATACATGTATGTCTGCAGATGCATAGAAATAAGATATGGAAGGATATATGTCAAATCATTTTTAATACTGGTTATTCCTGGAGTGGGGACCTTTACTTTTGACAGTTCTATAATGTCTGAATTATTTATAATGAGAATATATTACTTTAGTATATTTTTTACAAAGTTAATATAAAAAAAATAACAAGAGTCAAGGGGGCTCCATGCTATCTCACAGTGACATCACTAAATTATTTAATTGAATTCTAAACCTGGACTCCTCAGAAATGTTAACGTTCCCACATTTGTATCTCTGAGGACTCAGCCTTTAAGCAAGCAGGTTGCATAATATTACAAATTGACTATATTATGTTTTTAGAATATTTACCTTATAAATTACCAAGGTAAGAAAATGTATTAATTTTTTTAAATTATAAAAATAATATATGGTCATGCTTAAAGCTCAAACAGTACGTTTTCACCAGAGGCAACCAATATCAATAGCTTCTTATGTATCAGTCCACATACTAAAAAGTATTTAAAACATACTGCTTTATACCTTTTTCACTTTACCTTAGAGATCCAAGGATAATAATATTTATTAGTGGTATTGACTACTATGTAGGTCAACTATTCTTATTGATGAAGCACATCACAAATATGCTATGCTTAAACACCTACATCACGGTATTCAATACTAAGCTGCAATGATGTTGAAGGTCAAATAACACAAAATATGTCGAAGAAACCAGCATTAATCAATCAGAAGAAAATAACTTATTCCCTCTTAAATAATTTACAGTAAGCTAGGCCTTGGCAAGGATCTAGCTCAATTGTTTAGTCTTTTTCATTTTCCTCACACAGATATAATAAATTTTTAAGGAAGTTGAAGAAAAATATGTTACTTCAATTGGCTTTCCCTGCTGGATGGATACTCACCACATTCTGCTTTGTTGTTTCCTCTAGGGTCTGTATCACGTACAACCTATTTCGACAGCGCATGCTGTATATATCTTCATAGCGAATATTACCATATTTCTGAAAGAAATATTATTGCAATGGGTACTCATTCATAATAAACATCTACTTCTCTTATAGTTGAATTTCATCAGATTCAATTCTCAGAGGCTTTGTTTCTATTTCTAGCTATTTTCATTATTTGTTCAGTGATTATGCAAATTTTCACCTCCCACATTTCAGCTTTTCTATATATTCACTGGAGAGAATTCCATCTACTATGTATCTGCACTAAGTACAAGAACATTGGTAAAATTCTTAGTGTCTAAGAAAAGAATAATTTTCACCTTTTTGTACAGTGATAAAAACCAAAAAAAAACCAAACCCGTTGTCGTCAAGTCGATTCCGACTCATAGTGACCCTATAGGACAGAGTAGAATTGCTCCATAGGGTTCCCAAGAAGCAGCTGGTGGATTCAAACTACCCATCTTTTGGTTAGCAGCTGAGCTCTTAACCACTACACCATCAGGGCTCCCGTCTCTAAGAAGAGAATAATTTTCACTTTTTAATGTAGTGATAGGTATTTAAAAGTGGTCATTATTTGTGAAAGTTTAATTTAATGAAAAGCAAATTGAGGCAGAGGAGGTTATAAAACCTAGGAACAACTCACAGAACTCGATTTTAAAGTGAAGTTGAATTTTAAATTGTATCTTGCATTATTATCTTTTAATATATCAATATCAATCCTTTAAAATATGCTATGTATTTATAAAGCAGCCCTGGTGGCACAGTGGTTAAGCACTCAGCTGCTAACTGAAAGGTCGGTGGTTTGAACTCACCAGCTGCTCCAGAGGAGAAAGATGTCGCTGTCTGCTTCCGTAAAGATTATAGCCTTGGAAACCTTACGGGGCAGTTTTACTCTGTCCTACAGGGCTGCTATGAGTGGGAATTGACTCAATGGCTGTGGGTCTGGAGTGGAGTTTATGCATTTATAGTATAAAAAACTTACCTCATTTGACTCTCTAATCAAATCTGTAATGTCCACTCTAATATGACTGCTTTTTTCATCACTCATATTTGAACCTTGCTGAACACTTGAAGGCAATGGGCTATCCTTATTAGTGACATTGTCAAAGAACCTATCCAAAAGTGACATTAATACAATAATTAGTGGAACAAAAATTATTAAAGCAGAGAAAATGGCATCAAATTTTCCCCCTAGTGAGTCAGTGGTTAATTTAAACTGAAAGGACAAGAGGAGATCTTACAGAAAAGTAGAATCTGAGGATGGCTAGGAGTTAGGAGGACATAGGTAAGAGGAATGGAATGGAGAAGAAATCATTTCAGAAGGGGAGAGGTGAGCATGAGGGAAGCAAACAGGCTCAGAGTGTACTTAGCAAATATCACGTAGCCCAGTAAGAATGAAATATAGGGTATGTAGAGGCAGCATGTAAGGAGAAAAATGTTACGAAAGGCACATTGAGGCTTTATCACAGAAAGTTATGAATGTGAGAGTGAAGAGTTTGTATTTTATTCTGTACATGATGAAATTTGATGCACTATTACAACAGTCACCCATTCAAATATTAATTCATTCAACATATGCTTACACACACATACACACACACTACACATGTGCTCCAATACAAAATCGCATTCATTAAAAAAGCTACTAGGAAAATAAATTTCAATCTAACCGATTCAAACCATTTGGAAACCAGAACAATTTCTCCCACTGGACATTTCACATTATCAACGCTCCTTTACTCCCTCAAATTAATTTTATACAGAGACATTTTATAGCTCAAACTGGGACTATGAAAGTACCAGCATACTGAATCAACACTATTAGTGTAACAGGCAAAGAACCTAGTGATTTACTTCAAAACGATTTACTTTTGTTATATTATATTCTACTCAAAGAGGAAGATAGAGGACTAGATTTTAGACCTAGCTCTTCCATTCATCTATCTTTGTGACCTTGGGCAAACTGTTTGGAATTTCTAGTCTCAGTTTTCTCATCTGTAAAATAAGGGACTTGAACAACATAATCTCTCAGGTCCCCTCCAGATTTAAATGTTATGGTTCTTACAATACCTGTTTAAAGCTGTCACAGCTTCAGCATCATCTTTACATGTCAGCAATTTGTCTAAGTTATAGTCAAGTATTGCCAATCCCAGTTGTAAAATGGCCTTTATTCCATCATAGAAGAAGCAGTCCACCACATTCACTGCACTCTCAATAGGTAGCACACTAATAAAAAGTGTGAGAAACCATGAGAGAGAAACTGAGGAAAAGAATGTCATATCAGTCATGTGTTCTGTTAGCTGAGGAAGGTGATCCCTGATAAGTTCTTCAAAGACTGCCTGATCCACCAAGGCACCTGAAGAATACCAAAAGAAGTTGAAAAATGAACACCTTTCTAAAGGATTTGTTTATTATAACTCCTACTTCTATTCGTATGCAGATATATCTCATTTCTCTTCCTGAAATTATTAACTCCTTCAGTGCATTTTCTATATTTCATACAGATCTACATTGCTATTAGAGTGTCATGCATCAAGAAGCACTTGAGAAACTCAACTTAGATTTATTTGAGAAACTATCTATTAAGTCTTTGTTATGTGCAGAGACCTGCACTAGGTGCTATGAGAGATATACCAATTAATGACATGGTCTCATCTTCAAAGAGTTTGATAACTTAAGATAAACACCAAATAACTGTAACAGAAGAGAATATAATCAATGACATAATCAAGATACTGAAGGCTTATGAGGAGAGACCATATATAGGTTTTGAGGTAGGGGATCATAGATCTATAAATATTTGATGACTGAAGAAAATATTACACAAATAACAAGCCAAGAACTTGATCCTTCTTTATGACCTTGCAAATATTTACATAACTCATATAAATGTGGGGATTTTAAGCTGCTTAAAGCCTCCCTCCCATAAAGAAACTATTAAAAATCCTCTGGGAGCTCTGGGAACTTCAGATCACCACTGCTTTAGCAATACAGGGGTCCAAAAAAAACTCTCCATTGACTCGATTCTGACTCATAGCAATCCTACAATAAATTTAAAACCTCAATTTTGTTAAGAAAGATCAGAAATTTTATTTAAAAAATATATTAAACAATTTTTACAACTATAAAACCAAACTCAACCAAACCCATTGCTGTCGAGTTGATTCTGACTCATAGTGACCCTATAGGACAGAACAGAACAGAACTGCCCCACTCCCAGGAGTGGCTGGTGGATTCGAACTGCCGACATTTTCGACAGTGGCCGAATACTTAACCACTGTGCCACCAGGGCTCCTTTACAACCATAAATACTCAATAAAATGGAGCCCTCGTTGTGCAGTGGTTAAGTACTCGGCTGCTTAATAGAAGGTTGGTGGTTCAAATTCACCCAGTGGCTCTGCAGGAGAAAGACCTGTCAATCTGCTTCCATAAAGATTACAGCCTAGAAAACTCTATGGGGCAGTTCTACTCTGTCACATGGGGTCGCTATGAGTCAGAATTGACTCGATGGCACACAATAACAACACTCAATACAAAAAGCTCTTCTCTTGAGCATGTCAAGTGAAAGTGACATTTTAATACTGCTTGCGTTTTGCATATTTCACATCCTAATTCATCAGTTCTTTAATTTGATTGGGTATTAGATAGACAAGAGCTACAGGAATTGTTTAGAAAAGAGTATATGTATATGTGTGTGTGTGTGTGTGTGTGTGTGTGCATGTATTTTCTTACCAATGATTCGACGATTAAAATAATCAGGTAACATTCGTTCACATACAGCAACCAGAAGCCAAAAAGCCTCTTCCTCTTTTGCATACAGAAGCAACACTGAAGTCAAAATGTTCATTGCCTAAAGAAGAAATACGAAAAAGTAAATCTTGCTCAGGTAAGAAATACATTTCTTCTTCAAATATAGTAGTTTTCAATAGCAACAACAACAATTAAAAGACTAATAATAATGGAAACATGAGAACTCTGAGCCAGTCCAAAGCAAAACAAGGTGAAGTCAGACTAATATTTGCTAATCGGTTATTTTATACCGCAATATTCAAAGAAAATGAAGCAGGGATATCATGAATATATAATATAATCAGTAAAATCTCTCTAATTTTGACTAATTTCAATGAGTAAAAAATCATAATTATCACAAAATCTGAAAAAAACACTTACAGTATCTTCAAGGACATACTAAAACTGGAGATAACAAACTTCATTTGTATTTCTCACTACCTACAGTAAAATATCCTTTAGCTATCAATCATCCTCAACTTACATAAACTTATTATCTAGAATAGGCAAATGTGTAGAAATCAAAGTTTATTAGTGATTACCAGGGGCAGATTCGAGGGGGAAATGGGGAGGTATTTCTTAAGGGGTACTGAGTTTCTGTTAAGGGTGATGAAAAATATTCAGAAATGGATAGCGGCGATGGTTGCACAACATGTGAACATAATTAATGTCACTGTATTATACATGTAAAAATGGTTGAAATGACAAATGTGTTGTTATACATATTTTACCACAATAAAATTTCAAAAAAGAAAATATAATTTAGATATACTTATCCCTTTTCATTCCTGCTACCACCCTAAATTTCTCCTTCTAAAATGTCAGGTCATTACTTTTATATAACATTTGGGCATATCTCTAATTATAAAGGTAACAAATCCTTGTTTTATAGAATTTAGAAAAAATGAAAAAGTATGAAGAAGAAAATAAAAATCTTATATAATCCCATCTACCCAGAAATCACCATTGTTAACATGTTGATGTATTTTTTTGTTTTTTTCTTGCTGTCTCCTCTTCGAAAATTTACGTCAAGCTGGATATTAAATCTTGATTTTTTTCACTTAGCATTATAATGTACATTTTCAATGCCATGAAATATTCTTCTAAAAGAATATTTTTAAGGACTCTAAAATAATCTAATAAATTGGGTATAGTATAAATTATTTAACCATTCTATTATTATTGGACATTTAGGCTGATTTTATATAACACTGCAATGAATATCTTTGCACATAAATTTTCATCCAAGTTTTTTACTATTTTCTTGGGGTTGTTGTTTGTTGCTGTTGAGTTGGCTCCAACTCATGACAACCTTATGTACAACAGAACGAAATGTTGCCTGATCCTGTGCCATCTTCATGATTGTTGGTATGTTTGAGTTCATTGCTGTGGCTATTGTGTCAATCTACCTCACTGAAGGCTTCCTTCATTTCTGTAGAACCTCTACTTCACCATACATGATGTCCTTTTCTAGCAGTTGGTCTTTCCTGATGATGTGTCCAAAGTAAGCAAGTGGAAGTCTCACAATCCTAGCTTCTAAGGAGCATTCAGCTCATATTTTTTCTAAGAACTGATTTGTACATTTTTCTGGGAGTCCATGATGTAGTCAGTATTTTTTGCCAGCACCACAGTTCAAATGCAGCAATTCTTCTGTGCTCCTTTTCCTTGTACAACTTTCACATGCATATGAGGCCACTGAAAAGACTATGGCTTGGGTCAAGCATACCTTAGTCATCAAAGTGACACATTTGGTTTTTAAAATTTTAAAGAGGTCTTTTGCTGCAGATTTATCCAATGCAATACATTTTTTGATTTCTTGACTGCTGCTTCCATGGACTGATTGTTGATTCAAGTACAATGAAACTGTTGACAACTTCAATTTTTTTCTCTATTTGTCATGATGTTGTTTATCAGTCGAGCTGTGAGGATTTTCCTTTTCTTTTCATTCAGGCATAAGCTATACTGAAGGCTGTAGTCTTTGACCTTCATCAGCAAGTGCTTCAAGTTGTTTTCATTTTTGGCAAGCAAAGGTGTGTCATCTGCATATCACAAATTGTTAATGGATCTTCCTTGAATCCTGATGCCGTGTTCTTCTTCATATAGTCCAGGTTCACGGGTTTATTGTTCAGCATACAAATCTAATAAATAAGGTGAAAGGATACAACCTTGCCGTACACCTTTTCCAATTTTAAACCACCCATCATCCCCCCGTTCTGTTCAAACGAATGACTCTTGATCCATGTGTAAGTTAACACATGAGCACAATTAAGTGTTCTGGAATTTCCATTCTTCATAATGTTATCCACAATTTGTTATGATTCATACAGTCAAATGCCTTCGTGTAGTTGATAAAACACAGGTAAACAGCTTTCTGATATTCTCTGCTTCTGGCCAAGATCCATCTGACATCAGCAATATATCCCTCATTCTATGCCCTCCTTTGAATCTGGTTGGAACTTCTGGCAGTTCCCTGTCTATGTACAGTTGCAGTTTTTTAAATTATCTTAGCAAGATTTTGCTAGCAAGTGATATTAATGATATTGTTTGATAACTTCTATATTCCATTTGATCACCTTTCTTTGGAATGGGCACAAATATAGATCTGTTAAAGTTGGTTGACTCAGTAGCTGTCTTACAAATTTTTTGACACAGACAAATGAGCACTTCCAGTATTGCATTCATTTGTTGAAGCATCTCAACTGGTATTTCGTCAATTCGTGGAGCCTTGTTTTTCCACGAATGCCTTTACTGCAGCTTGAACTTCTTTCTCAGTGCCAGCAGGTTTTTTTTTTAAATCATATACTACCTCCTGAAATGGGTGAACATCGACCAATTCTTTTTGGTACAGTGACTCTGTATATTCCCTCCATCTTCCTTTGATGGTTCCTGTGTCATTCATTATTATTATTATTTTTTTGCCCATAAAATCCTTCAGTAATGCAAGTCGAGGCTTGAATTTTCTCTTCAGTTCTCTCAGCTTGAGAAATGTTGACCATGTTCTTTCCCTTTGGTCTTCTAACTCCAGGTCTTTGCACATTTCTTCATAATATTTTACTTTGTCTTCTCGAGCCATCCTTTGAAATCCTCTGTTCAGCTTTTACTTCTTCATTTCTTCCATTTGCTTTAGCTACTCTGCAATTAAGAGCAAGTTTCAGAGTCTTCTGACATCGATTTGGTCTTTTTCATCTTTCTTCTTTTTTGATGACCTTTTACTTTCTATATGAATGTTGTTGTTAGGTGTTGTCAAGTCAGTTCCAACTCATAGCAACCCAATGTACAACAGAACAAAACACTGCCCGGACCTGCACCATCCTCACAATTGTTGTTATGCTTGAGCCCATTGTTGCAGCCACTGTGTCAACTCATCTCATTCAGGGTCTTCCTCTTTTTTGCTGACCCTCTACTTTACCAAGCATGGTGTCCTCCCCCAGGTACTGGTTGGCACCTCCTTATAACATGTCCAATGTACATGAGATGAAGTCTCACCATCCATGTTTCTAAGGAGTATTCTAGCTGTACTATTTCCAAGACAGATTTGTTCGTTCTTCTGGCAGTCCATGGTATATTCTTCTCCAACATCATAATTCAAAGGCATCAAGTTTTCTTTGGTCTTCCTTATTCATTGTCTAGCTTTCAAATGCATATGAGGTGATCAAAAACACCATGGCTTGGGACAAGTGCACCTTAGTCCTTAAAATGACATCTTTGCTTTTTTAACACTTTAAAGAGGTCTCTTGCAGCAGATTTGCCCAAAGCAACGCGTCATTTGATTTCTTCACTGCTGCTTCCATGGGCATTGATTGTGGATCCAAGTAAAATGAAATCCTTGACAACTTCAGTCTTTTCTCCATTTATCATGATTTTGCTTATTGGTCCAGTTGTGAGGATTTTTGTTTTCTTTATGTTGAGGTATAATCCAAACTGAAGGCTGTGGTCTTTGATCTTCATCAGTAAGTGCTTCAAGTCCTCTTCACTTTCAGCAAGCAAGGTTGTGTCATCTGCATAATGCAGGTTGTTAATAAGTCTTCCTCCAATCCTGCTGCCCTCTTCTTCTTCATGTAGTCTAGCTTCTCGGATTATTTGCTCAGCATACAGATTGAATAAATATGGTGAAAGGATACAACCTTCACGCACACCTTTCCTGACTTTAAACCACGCAGTATTCCCTTGTTCTGTTCGAATGACTGCCTCTTGGTCTAAGTACAGGTTCCTCATGAACACAAATAAGCGTTCTGGAATTCCCATTCTTTGCAATGTTATCCATAATTTGTTATGATCCACAAAGTTGAATGCCTTTGCATAGTCAAGAAAACACAGGTAAACATCTTTCTGGTATTCTCTGCTTTCAGCCAAGATCCATCTGACATCAGCAATGATATCCCTTCTTCCCATATCCTCTTCTGAATCCGGCTTGAATATATGGCAGTTCCCTGTCGGTGTACTGTTGCAACTGCTTTTGAATGATCTTCAGCAAAATTTTACATATGTGATATTAATGATATTGTTTGATAATTTCTACATTCTGTTGAATCGGCTTTCTTTGAAATGGATACAAATATGGATCTCTTCCAGTCAGCTGGCCAGGTAGCTGTCTTCCAAATGTCTTGAGATAGACGAGTGAGTGCTTCCAGCACTGCATTCATTTGTTGAACATCTCAATTGGTATTCCATCAATTCCTGGAGCCTTGATTTTCATCAATGCCTTCAGTGCAGCTTGGACCTCTTCCTTCAGTACCATCAGTTCTTGATCATATGCTACCTCCTGAAATGAGTGAACATCGACCAATTCTTTTTGGTACAGTGACTCTGTGTATTCCTTCCATCTTCTTTTGATGCTTCCTGTGTCGTTTAATATTTTCCCTGTAGAATCATTAAAAATTGCAACTCGAGACTTGCAGTTTTTCTTCAGTTCTTTCAGCCTGAGAAAAGCCAAGCGTGTTCTTCCCTTTGGTTTTCTATCTCCAGGTCTTTGCGCATTTCATTATACTACTTTACTCTGTCTTCTCGAGCCACCCTTTGAAATCTTCTGTTCAGCTCTTACTTCATCATTTCTTTCTTTCGCTATAGCTGCTGTACATTCAAGAGCAAGTTCCAGAGTCTCTTCTGACACCCACTTTGGTCTTTTCTTTCTTTCCTGTTGTTTTAATGACATCTTACTTTCTTCATGTATGATGTCCTCGATGTCATTCCACAACTTGTCTGGTCTTTGGTCATCAAGTGTTCAGTGCATCAAATCTATTCTTGAGATGGTCTCTAAATTCAGGTGGGATATACTCAAGGTCTTGCTTGGCTCTCGTGGACTTGTCCTAATTTTCTTCAACCTGAACTTGCATATGAGCAATTGATGGTCTGTTACACAGTCAGCCCCTGGTCTTGTTCTGACTGATACTGTGCTTTTCCATCGTCTCTTTCCACAGATGTAGTTGATTTGATTCCTGTCTATTCCATCTGGCAAGGTTCAAGTGTGTAGCAGTCGTTTATGCTGCTGAAAAAAGGTATTTGCAATGAAGAAGTTGTTAGTCTTGCAAAATTCTATCATGTGATCTCCAGCGTCATTTCTATCACCAAGGTCTTATTTTCCAACTGCTGTTCTGACTTCTTTGTTTCCAACTTTCGCATTCCAATCACCAGTAATTATCAACGCATCTTGATTGCATGTTTGACCAATTTCAGACTGCAGAAGTTGGTAAAAATCTTCAATTTCTTCATCTTTGGCCTTAGTGGTTGGTGCGTCAATTTGAATAACAGTCGTATTAACTGGTCTTCCTTGTAGGCGTATGGATATTATCCTATCACTAATAGCGTTGTAGTTCAGGATAGATCTTGAAACTGTTCTTTTTGACAATGAACAAGATGGCATTCCTCTTCAACTTGTCATTCCAGGCATAGTAGTCCATATGACTGTCTGATTCAAAATGGCCAATACTAGTCCATTTCAGCTCATTAATGCCTAGGATATTGATGTTTAAGTATGATGTCCTTGATATCTTCCCACAACTTTTCTGGTCTTTGGTCATTAGTGTTCAGTGGGACAAATCTATTCTTGAGATGGTCTCTAAATTCAGGTGTGATGTATTCAAGGTCATACTTTGGTATCTTGGGCTTCTTTTGATTTTCTTCAGCCTCAATTTGAACTTGCACAGGAGCAATTGATGGTCTGTTCTGTAGTCAGCCCCTGGCTTTGTCTTGACTGATGATATTGCGCTTCTCCACTGGCTCTTTCCACAGATGTACTCAATTTGATTCCTGTGTAATCCATCTGGTGAGGCCAATGTGTGTAGCCATCAATGGTGTTGTTGAAAAAATTATTTCCCATGAATAAGTTGTTTGTCTTGCTGAATTCTACCCTGTGATCTCTGGTGTCATTTCTATTATCAAAGCTGTATTTTCCAATTATTGACCTTTCTCCTTTGTGTCTAACTTTCACATTCCAACCACCAGTAATTATCAATGCATCTTGACTGCATGTTTGATCAGTTTCAGAATGCAGCAGCTATTTGGTCAAAGAATAAAAGGCTTTATGTTATTGGCAAATTCTCTCACAAAAAGACTGCACCAATTTACATTTCTGACCAACAGTTTCTGAATCCCTGTTTCACCGCATCTTTCCAATACTGAGTGTTATAATAATTACAATCATCTTTGCTGATTTGATAGGTGAAAATAGTATCTCATTGTTTAATTTGAATTTGAACTTTTTTTCAAGTTTTATTATGAATCTGCATTTTTGTCTTTTGTAATCTTTCCATGCTCATTGATTATTATTATATTTTAATGATTTTCTTATAGATTTGTATAAGATCTTTATATATTAGGTATGTTAATTCTTTGTCATACTGGGTACAATGTTTGAATACAAGCTCAGTTTTCACTTTACCACTTTCCTGCTCAAGAAATCATTATGGGTCAAAATGGCTAAGTATGGACCTCCAACAAGTAATGAGAACACCAGCAAAAATTGTCTGAATCAATTTTTTCGGAATTTTTAATTTAAAATTTTAACCAAAAATTTACAGCAATCTGGTAGCATTTATTTAAAAAAGGGTGGGGGGGGGGCTGAATCTCAGTAAGAACAGTGATCGCTGTGACATTTTAATTTGACCTATTCCTATCTTCTCTCCCCAGCTCTGCAGTAGTCTTGAAAACCAACACCAGCAAAACATGGTGAAAATCAGCTATTTACCGGTGTTTTACTGACTTTTTACTGGCATTCAATTGTGCGGATCATAACAAATTATGGATAACATTGCGAAGAATGGGACTTCCAGAACGCTTAATTGTGCTCATGAAGAACTTGTACATAGACCAAGAGGCAGTTGTTTGAACAGAAAACAGGGATATTGCATGGTTTAAAGTCAAAAAGGGTATGTATCAGGGTTGTATCCTTTCACCATACTTATTCAATCTGTATGCTGAGCAAATAATCCGATAAGTTGGACTATATGAAGAAGAACACTGCATCAGGACTGGAGGAAAACTCATTAACAACCTACTTTATGACCACTATTATGAGAACTCAAGGTTTAAACACAGAAGAAAACATTCTTTGATGGTTACGAGGGTGGGGGTGAGGGAGGGTGAGGGTTATTTACTAACTAGATAGTAGATAAGAATTATCTTAGGTGAAGGGAAGGACAGCACACACTACAGGGGAAGTCAGCACAACTGGACTAAACCAAAGTTAAGAAGTTTCCTGAATACAATCAAACACTTTGAGGGACAGAGTAGCAGGGGTAGGGGTCTGGGGACCATGCTTTCAGGGACATTTAGGTCAACTGGCATAACAAAGCTTATTAAGAAAATGTTCTGCATCCTACTTTGGTGAGTGGCGTCTGGGGTCTTAAAAGCTTGCAAGCGGCCATCTAAGATGCATCAATTGGTCCCAACCACCTGGAGTAAAGGAGAATGAAGAACACCAAAGACACAAGGAAAGTACTAGCCCAAGAGACAGAAACGGCCACATAAACCAGAGACTTCATCAGCCTGAGACCAGAAGAACTAGATGGTGTCCGGCTACCACCCATGACCACCGACAGGGAACACAACAGACAGTCCCAGATGGAGCAGGAGAAAGGTGGGGTGCAGAACTCAAATTCTAGTAAGAAGACCAGACTTAATGGTCTGACTAAGACTGGAGGATCCCCGGAAAGCATGGCCCCCGGATTCTCTATCAGCCCAGAAATAAAACAATTTCTGAGGCCAACTCTTCAGACAGGGATTGGACTGGACTGTGGGACATAAAGTGATACTTGTGAGGAGTGTGCCTCTTAGCTCAAGTAGATACAAGAGACTAAACGGGCAGCTTCTGTCTGGAGGTGAGATGGGAAGGCAGAGAGGGTTAGGAGCTGGTTGAACGGACATGGGGAATCAGGGGTGGAAAGGAATGTGTTGTCACAGTATAGGGAGAGCAACTAGGGTCACATAACAATGTATGTATAAATTTTCGTATGAGAGACTAACTTGAATTATAAACAATTTCACTTAAAGCACAATAAATGTAAGTAAGTAAGTAAGTAAAGTAAGTAAGTAAAGTAAGTAAAGTAAGTAAGTAAAGTAAGTAAGTAAGTAAGTCAGTCAGTCAGTCAGTCAGTCAGTCAGTCAGTCAGTCAGTCAGTCAGTCAGTCAGTAAGTGATTGGATTAAAATATACCATACAGTGATATGATTTCATTAACATAACAAAGAAAATCCTACTCCCAAATGGGCTTACATCCACATGTATAGGGGCTAGGATTCCAACACCTGTTTTTGGAGGACACAACTCATTCCATAACAAGGGGTCAAGAGAAACTTGTGAGAACATGTACTTAAAGCTGCCTGTTGTGCAATGAATAGTAAAGTCCTTTTTCCCTGAAAAAAAACAAACTTCTGTTGTGTTTCAACTATTATCTATTTGAGTTTGTGTTAGCAGTCTGGCCTACTCTAATTAATACAATGTGCTCCTAAAGGATTTTTTCCCCAGTGATTCCTCTACTGCCTACAGAATAAAATTTAAACTCCTGACCTATCCCAAAACCAAAAACCAAACCTAATGCAGTCGAGTTGATTTCGACTCACAGCAGTCCTATCCCAACCTACCTTAATTTTTTCCCAACTACTTCCCTTCATTCACCCTACACTTCTGTTAAACTAAACAGAACATAGTGTAGCACATATTCCAAATTTACCTCTCTCTGTGTTAGGTTAAACTGATCCCTTCACCTGGAATGTTCTTTCATTCTATTTCCGTAAATCCAAAATTCACCAATTTTCAAGCTCTTCAAATGCTATCTCTTCCATGAAGCCTTCCTCTGATTCCGCCAGATAAAAATAATATTTCCCTATTATAAATCCTTGCAGGACTTTATATTTCTCTAATGGTTTCTCTCACTTGTTTTTTTGGTTTTCCAATGAATAACACCTACCAGTCTTCATACTTTTAAGGGCAAAATCCGTATCTGATTAATCTTTATAAATCCTTAAGCATATAGCACAGTGTACTTATCATACCTTTTACAGAATAAGAATTCAATAAACATTTGTGACATGAAAAAGAAGAATTAATTAATGAAATATCAATTTTCCTAAGTATTCCCACTATCATCCTACTTATATTAATAACACACATTTTCAGTCTCAGCTCAACCTTTATCCTTATTATCAGAATTTCCAAATTATTGGAGCTGGATTTGATGAGATTTTACATTTGGAACATGCACATAGTTGGGCTTGGAGTGCAGTCATACCTGGCAGTATCCAATTTTGGGATTCCTGTACGCGTATGCAGTGAGTACCCGTCTGAGAGCAGATATGCCAGTATCACTCTGAAAGGCTGGGTGCTCAGGCAGGGAGCGACGCAAATCACGTTCAATTTCTTCGGTAGCCAAGTTGCAGGTCCCTAAGGATTGCTCAACCACTTCAGCATAATAACCAGGGTTAGTAGCCATATCATTAACAGCACCTATGAACAGGATTGTATTAACATACAAAGGAAGAGGAACACAATAAAGCTACTATTTGCATATATACATAAAGAATTAAATTTCATTATCTTGAGATTTAGTTTTATGTTCAATTAATATCTGAGCACATGCACATACACACACACACACAAAGAAAAAAAAAACTTCATGCTAGAGTCTGTAAGATCAGGACACTAATCTTATCAAACAGAATAACATTTTCATGAGCTGGGATTTTTTTCCTCTTAACTTTCCTTTGACAACAGAGATAGAGACTTTCCCCCCAAAGTACACACACCCTGTCAAGTAAACTAATCTGCTCAGACACTGGATATGTGGTTATCTAGATAAGTACTCATACTATTAAACTTTCTCTCTTTAACTATTCTGAACTCATGATGGACAAGATTTTGTCCTAGCCATCTTTGTAATTCTACGAATTTAGCTTACTGCATAACTCCTAGAAAGGACATGATTAATGTCTGTTAAATGAATAAAAGTGAATACCATGTTTTTATGCAAATGACATGCGTCTTCTATGTCTGTTTGGCAACCGCACCCCACAACCCCGTAAGGTACTGTCATAAGCGCTGCTATGTCAATTCTTTTTACATGCTGCTGTAAGAAAATTAGCATAGTGCACTTACAAATATACCTTGCAGGGGAAGGGCACGGTTGGTAAAAAAATGTAGAAGGCACGTGTTATTTACATAAAAATATGGTAAACGTAGTACCTGAGAAAAGCATCCAGAGCTCTCCTCTTAAAGTCTCTGGAATCCCTCTTACAACCAGATCTCGAGTCTTTTTGGTCCGGAACATGCTAACGCCACGCCCACATTCTGCAAATAGGATGTTCCACGACTGTTCCTTCATCTTTTCTTTCAACTATAACAGAAAAATCAAAGCAATTAAAAATAGTGAGAAATTAACTTCTTTAAGTAATTTGACCGCTTTCTTCAACATGAAACAACAGTAGATCTATGGCTATCAATAGCATATAAGGTCAAGATCAGTATTCACATAAGAGTCAAACATTGGACACTTGTCATCACAAAAATCTTTTAAACCCATGTGAACATCACAGCTTTAATTTATTATTTTAATTCTTAGCTAAACTCATATACAAATGGGAAAACCATTAAATTTAGGAGGTAAAGCTTTAAACTATCATTCTCCCTAAATCACCTTGATTCCAGGGTAAAAAACAAAAACAAAACAAAAACCCACTGCCGTCAAGTCAATTTCTACTCATAGTGACCCTATAGGACAGGGTAGAACTGCCCCATTGGGTTTCCAAGGAGCTGCCGGTGGATTTGAACTGCCGACCTTTTGGTTAGTAGCTGTAGCTCTTAACCACTAAGCCACCAGGGCTCCTGATTCCAGGATAGATTATTTGAAATCTATGCAACTGACTGAGATACTGGGCTTGAGGGCTACGGACCATAGTCTCGGGAGACATCTAGGTCAATTGGCATATCATAATCCATATAGACAATGTTCTGCATCCTACCTTGGTGAGTAACGACTTGGTCTTAAAAGCTTGCAAGCGGCCATGTAAGATACAATAATTGTTTCTCTTCCCGTCCGGAGCAAAGAAGAATGAAGAAAATCAAAGACTCAAGGCAACAATTAGTCCAAAGGACTAATGGTCCACATGAACCATGGCCTCCACTAGCCTGAGACCAGAAGAACTAGATAGTGCCTGGCTACCGCTACTGACCACTCTGACCGGGACCACAATAGTAGGTCATGGACAGAGCGGGAGAGAAATGTAAAACAAAATTCAAACTCATAAATAAGACCAGATTTACTGGTCTGACAGAGACTGGTGGAACCCCTGAGACTATGGCCCTTAGACATACTTCAAACTTGGAACTAAAATCACTCTCAGAGATTACATTATAGCCATACAATAGACAGGCCTATAAAATGAACAATAACACCAGTGGGGAATGTATACTTCAGAACAATCAACTATACGAGGCCTAAAAGGCAGCGTTTGCCCAAAACAAAGTTCAGAAGGATGAATAGGGGCAGGAAAGCTGTGCAAATGGACATGGGAAACCCAGGGAGGAAGGGGAGAGAGTGCTGACATGTTCAAGGGTTTGCAAACAATGTCACAAGACAAACTGTGTATAAATTGTTAACTGGGAAATTAACTTGCTGTGTAAACTTTCACCTAAACCACAATAAAATGTTCAAAACAAAAAAATCTATGCAACTAAAACCCAACATCCAACTTTTATCTTTTATATTCATTCCTTATAACAGTCCTTTTGTATAGTAGAACCAAACAAGTCACACAGTAGTACCTGCTGGAATACCTTTTCAAACTCCAAAAGAAGAGTTTTCAGTTGTAGTATCGTTTAGTATGCTCTAAGATTTTTAATCAACTGTTTTTGTCCATAGATTTAAATATTTTGTTTTCTTACCATTTTAGAATTAAGAGTATCCAAATTCTGAGGGTGAAATACTCTCATTAAGGCTTCAGTGTTCACAGTTTTACTGCATTCTTTCTGACATGTCATAGATTTCTCCTCAAGATTATCTGACGGGCCTGTAGAGTCAGAACTAACAGTGACCTGAAAAAGAGAGTCACAGTGTAATTGTCTCAAACGCATGTTAAAAATTTCCACAAGAAGAAAGGAATGCTGTTTTATCTGTCATTTATAAACCACAATCTACATAAATAATCAACATTAAAGCAATGTCTCATAAAGCTCTATCTATAAAAATAAGAGCTATCAATAGATTGATTTCTGGAATGGCAAAGTCAAGAATTCAGTAAATCTACACCCCAACAAAAGAAATAAAAATACTGGCAAAACATTCAAAATAAACCATTTCAGAACACTGTAAATAATCAAAGGCATAGAACAAACTGAAAAGTGTCTATTCATGAAAAACTACTAAACTTCAGTAAGAACAGCACAGTCCGTGTGGTGTTTTAACTTGAGGTTATTCCCATTCTCCCTCCCTCCCCAGCTCAGAGGTGTGGCAGCCATGAAACACCTGCAGTATCACAGCCAACTTAAGAGCACTGACATCTTTTAGCGCTCCCTGAAAAGTCCTATATCCAGAACAGTCCATAAAATATTTTGACCAAGCTAGTAATTCCTGCATAATCTTCATTCCTAGAGTGTTGTCATCATTTGATTTGATACAGCTCAACTCTGTGAAAAAAAGTCCTATTCCCTGGGTGCTACCGAAAACAGTAGTAATTTTCTGGTAACATCACAGCTGTCTAACAGTATGATTTTCAGTTGGGGCAAATAAGAACACGGCTGAAAAAAAAGGAAAGGTTTTGATATATTCTTGGAGTTCTAGCAGTATGCATGCATGTGCAGAGATATGCACATGCCCAGGAAAGAAATGGGACAGGAGAAGGCCCTAGTCACTCAACTCTGGCTGATTTTGAGCCCCTGTAAAAGCAGGAAGTAAAAGCTAAGGTTGATTTGTAAATTGCCTGAAATTTGAAGGCTTGACTTCACACAAAGATACGCTTGGCAAAAAGTGGATGCCTTACTGGCTCAAGGAATTTAAGGAAATCTTCTGACCAATCATTGGCTGACCACTAAATTATACTGATCTCAAAGGTGACCACAAAGGAAGATAGGCTTAAAAATAAAAACAAGAACTTAAAAAAAAAGAGCTATCAGAGAACTCAGTGGCTGCACACTGCAGGGAGGCAGAATATACAGAATTAGTCTAGGAAAGTTGCTAAACAAATAAGCAGGAACAAGAAAAACAACATCAACAACAAAAAACCCTGGGGGAGAGATCTGATACTAAGAGTTGCTGCAATATACTAACTATAAGGTCCAGTTCTCAAAAACAAAAATTTACTAAACATGCAAATAAAGACAAAAGTATGCCTATACACGGTGTGGGAGGGAGCAAACAACAGAAAATGCCACTGAAGGGGCCTAGATGTTGGACTTCATAGACAAAGACTGTAAAGCAGTTATTATAAATATATTCAAATAACTAAAGGAAACTGTTTAAGGAAAGTATGACAACTATGTCCCACAAAATAGAGGATATCAGTAAAGAGGAAGAAACAATAAAAAAGAATCAAATAAAAATTCTGGAGTTGAAAAGTACAATAACTGAAATGAAAAATTCACTAAGTTGCTCAACAGCAGATCTGAGCTGGCAAAATAAAGAATCAACAACCTTGATGTTAGGTCAATAGGGATTATCTAGTTTGAGTTACAGAAAATAAAAAGAATGAAGAAAAATGAACAAAGCCTCAGAGACTTGTGGAAAACCATCAAGCATTCATATAATGGGAGTCCCAGAAGGAGAAAAGAGAGAGAAAGGGGCAGAAAGGACATATGAGAAAACAATGGCCAAAAACTTCCCAAATTTCATGAAAAAATATTAAGCTATTAAGCCAAGAAGCTCAACAAACTCCAAGCAGAATAAATTCAAAGAGATATACACCTACCAACCAAACCAACCCCTTGTCGTTGAGTCAATTCCGACTCATAGCGACCCTACAAGACAGAGCAGAACTGCCCATGGGGTATCCAAGGAGCAGTTGGTGGATTTGAACTGCCAACCTTTTGATTAGCAGCATAGCTCTTAACCACTGCGTCCCCAGGGCTCCTGATGTACACCTAGACACATCATAATCAAACTGATAAAAGTGAAAGAAAACAGAGAATCTGGAATAGCTTGAAAACAGCAAGAAAAAACAACTTACCACGCCCAAGCGATTCTCAATAAAATCAAGAGCTGACTTCTTACCAGAAATCAGTCAGTGAACATGTTAAAAATTGAAAGAAAAAGTCAACCAAGAATTCTATATCCAGCAAAATTATCCTTCAAAAATGAAGGAACATAATAACAGTTATATGCTATTGTTGGGTGCCTTCAAGTCGATCCTGACTCATAACGATCCCATGTGACAGAGTAGAACTGCCCAATAGTTTTTTTCTGAATTTTACTTATTTTGTTGTTATTGTTGAGAATATACACAGCAAAACATACACCAATTCAACAGTTTCTACATGCACAATCTGGTGACACTGATTACATTCTTCAAGTTGTGCAACTATTCTCACTCTCCTTTTCTTAGTTATTCCTCCCTCATTAACATAAACTCACTGCTCCCTAAGGTTCCTATCTAATCTTTCGAGTTGTTGTTGTCAATTTAATCCCATATAGACAGTCATTAAAAGAGCATAATGCTCAAGGTAGGCCTTTTTTACTAGTTAAGCTATACTACTGTTTAATTTTAAGATGACTTTAGGGGATATTTTTGGTTTAAAGATTATGTCAGGGCAACAGTTTCAGGGGCTCATTCACCCTCCATGGCTCCAGAAAGTCTACAGTCTATGAAAATTTTAAATTCTGCTCTGCATTTTCCCCCTTCTGATCAGGTCCCACAGGGTTTTCTTGGCTGCATTCTTAACGAAAGCAGATCACCAGATCTTTCTCCCGCAGAGCTGCTGGGGGGTGAGATTCAGATTTCCAAGCTTTTAGTTAGCAGCCAAGAGCTTAACTGTTGCACCATCAGGGCTCCTTGAAAGATGTATAGACCACTGGAATGGAACCAAGAGTCCAGAAATGAATCCATGCATCTATGGCCAACTGATTTTCAACAAGGGTGCCAAGTCCATTCAATGGGGAAGGAAGAGTCACTTCAATAAACAGTGCTGGGAAAACTGGATTTCCACATGGAGAAGAATGAAACAAGATCCATGTCTCACACTACACACAAAAACCAATTCAAAATGGATCAAGAATCTAAATGTGAAAACTAAAACCATGAAATTCTTAGTAGAAAATGTAGGGGCAAGGCTGTGGGTTCTAGTTTTTAACAATGAATATTCAGATATGACAACAAAAAAGCATGTGCAACAAAAGACAAAATAGATAGATGGGACCGCATAAAAATTAAATACTTTTGCTCATCAAAGGAACTTATTAAAAAATAAAATAAAAAAAAGAACTTTCTCAACAAAGTGAAGAGACAACCTACAGATGGGGAGAAAAATTTCAGGAACCATATATCTGATAAAGGTCTAATATCCAAAATATATATAAAACTTCTACTACTTAACAACAATAAGACAAACAACCCAATAAAAAAATGCACAGAGTAGCACAGACACGGCCTACTGGAACCTGCCCTGCACTGATACCTGGTCTGCACTGTCAACCCTAGTACATGTCACAAACAACCCATCCCAGCAACTTCCCTTCAGCTGGACCTGCCTTGCTGTACTATACCTGAGTGACTGACCCTGTCCATTGGAGAAGGAGGTGAAAAGTATCGTGCCCACA